GTGCTCCTGTCGTTACTGCTGAGGTGGAGAGCAGATGTGAAGGCCAGAGCCGCGATCTGAACTAAACAACGTGCAGATTTGATTCCAGAGGATCGGCTGCAGCTGTTTCTGTCTTGTCCAGGTCTCTCCTCCTGCTGTTAGCTGCTGGATCTTCATTTTCGGTTATAGTTTTTCCTCCATTTCCTCACAGCAACCATGGAAACATGGTTTTACCCAAGTCTTCTACAGAATGTCTGCCTCATCCCAAACTTTACTTTCATCCAAAGGTCAAAATGTTTCTCAGAATATGAGCGAGATGATTAATTTAGAAAAACAAACAAACATCCACAGGACGTCTAGAGTGCAGAATAAAAGGCTTAATGAGACACAAAAAGGAGTCTAATTTTGATGACTTGACAGCAGCTTTCAGTTCTTTCCAAAGATTCTGGATTAGTTTCAGGTCTGGACTTTACCAGGTCATTCTAACAGCTGGATACGTTTATCTGTGAACCGTTCCATTCTAGATGTTGCTTTCTGTTTTGGATCCAATCTGGTTTCAGGACCACGTATGGATGTGGCCTAAAGAGACCTCATCCTCGCAGCTGTTTAAAACACTGCTGGTCTTCCCCATTTAACCAAGCAACCAATGAACTCATTCAACCTGGTCACTCTAAAACTGCCATCATTGTTCTGCTGTTTCTGTCTGTTTCCAGATTCTAACCATGAAGCTGCTGCAGAGGCCATCGAGAACATGGCGGACGCGGTCACGCATGCTCGATTCGTGGGAACAGACCCTGCAAGTGATGAAGTGGTCCTGATGAAAATCCTGCAGGTAGATCTTTATTTTTACTCGGCAGGAACCTTCGAAGGAGGAAAGAGTTTTTCTGTTTTTATCGGGGAAGAATGGATCCATCCATTTTATGTTCTTATTGACGTTGAAGAGAATCCAAATGTTTCTTGTTTTTGGTGCAAACCGTTGAGCTGCGTGTGGTGCTGTGTTTCTGTACGACGAGACCAGATCAGAACGCAGCAGGCGGCCATTCCTTAGAAAAACAGCTCATTAGAGCATGAAGAGAAGGAGTTTGTTTTATCGATGGCACAGTGAGGACATTCTAGAAGAGGAATTATAGAATGGCATCCAGTGCAGCCATTGGTCAGGACTGTCTGAGGAGGAGGTGTCACTTATTGTCATCAATCTTTGACCTCTCCTCTCCGCCCATAACCTTGCCGTCTCTGATGACCACGAGCTCAATATAGGGCTGGGAAATGAATTGTGTTTGCAATATAATCACAATTTAACAAGATGAGAAGAGTAAGTAGCTAAGTTTTTTATTCCAGCCCTTTATGCTTAAAGGAAAAGTCAGCTCAGCAACCAATAATCAATGGATCATTATTTATACCTAAAACTAATACTTCTGCGGTGATTTAATAAATTTAGTTTTAATCAGTAAAAAAAAATGTCATCGCCATCACTGAGTCTGGGAGCGGCCATTTTTGCCCAAATATAGTAGCCCCTCCCTCCTGCCATCTTCCAGCAGTGACGTCACGGTGCGGTAAGCCTAGCGCCATTCTCCCCGCTTTACAAGCAATGGGAACTACTAGACACATCTGCAATCAACA